AATACAGTTTTCAAAGACCTGCATAAATTATTGGAGAGATCAGTCAAGGTTTATAAGCGTTGCCATGGGAAGAGGATGTATCAGTAGGGGCTCACAGCTTCAAGAATAACTAATTGTTTGGTAAGAGTAACCCACCAGCGCAGGTGGAGCTGAGAAACCAACGCAGAAGGCAGACAGGTCCAGGCTGTTGTTATAGGGTGATTTTATTGGGGCACGGACAGACAGAAGCGTGGTTTTGGGCAACTACAAGACGGGTAGATCTCCATCCCTTATGCCCCAGACCCAGGGATTATATCCCATAGGGAAGGGACACACATGCTTCAGAGGGAATAGGTCGGAATTTGATCTAAGGGCAGGATTTACTGGAAGTATGTGCTATTACGCAAGGAGCAGTAGATAAATTGGAAATCTCAGAGGCATTCCCAGAACTGGGGTTAATCAGAAGTCAACATGGCCTATTAGCTTCCAAGACAGAGTTACTTTAGCCTCCACACACATGCAAGCAGAATGAATTTTATATTGTTTAGCAAAGTGGAGTATGTTAATGGAGCACTTTATTAAGCAGAGCCCTTTAGTGAATTTTACTTCTAGGTAGAGCAGCCCTTTTAAAACAAAGTTTCGCCTTTGTGATAGTCTGAGTGTGCTTTGAACACTGCTTCACTCTGAAGCCTTAGTGCCTTCAAGCCTTGCTCCTCAAAGCTGGTCTGTGGATCAGGGTTACCTGGGAACTTTTAGGAATGCAGAGTCCCAGGCCCCACCTTAACCTACTCGGTTTATGTTTTAACAAGATTCCAGGTGATTCATATATACAACGAAGTATGAAAACCATTGGTCTAGAGCAGTGGTTCACAAAAAAAATGGTTCCTGGACCAGCAACATCAGCATCACCTGAAAAATTGTTAGAAAATGCAGATTCTCGGGCCCCACCTCAGACCTACAGAATCAGAAACTCTGGGATGGACCCCAGCAGTACGTGTTTTAGTTGGTGCTGTAGGTGATGGTAATTCGTGATAAATTTTGAGAACCACTCTAGGGTAATGTGTTTCAGACAGTTTAGGTCATGCACAACCTTGAGAAATACACTTTTAATCATGACTTAGTACACACACTCACATGCATGTGTGACTTAGACGTTCCATGAAACAATGCTTGTCTTACAAAGTGTTTTCTGCTGTGGTATTTTTACTTTTATTCTATTAAATAGATATCTGTGTATAAACTTAATATGAAAATATGGTCATGAGCCGCTAAAGTGATTTTACAAGCCACTAATGGGTCATGAGCTACAGTTTGAGAAACAGTAGTCTTGAGCAGGCCCCTCTTGATAGTCTGATAAAATTCTAGATCTTTTGTCAGAATAATGCATTTCAAATGCATACAATAATATAGATAGAATTGCAAAAGAAACCAATTTGATTGGCTACCAAAATATTACACTTGTGGTATGATAATATATGTATCCCAGCTTCTCAGGAGGCTTAGGCAGGAGTATTGGTTGAGGCCAAGAGTTTGAGTCCAGTTGGGGCAATATATCTAGACCCCATCTCTAAAAAAACAAAAATGCCAAGTTTCTTTATTGATAACAAGATTTAATGGTGAGTCTAGTAACTATTATCATTTCAAACTAGGGATGAGTATAAATATTTCAAGATATCTGCAGTAACTGTTACATGATATGAAAATGATTAATTTCTATTGATGACAAGTTATAGTTATTGCTACCAATACTCTGGTTTGTTGCTTACATTTGTATTTGAAACATGCTAAATTTCATCTCAAGGTAAATGCAAGTAAAGATGTAAATCACCCTCTTCCCCAGCTTCATACTTCCAGAATTCTCCTGATGGGCACTTCCTTCCCCGTGGACCTGAGGTTAAGAATCCTTGCTCAAGGGGAACCTTGCTTTAGAGAATAGTTCTTGGCCTTAAAGTTGAGATTCTAAGCAAAAATATCTTCTTGGAATTTCTTGAAACTTTTGCTTTATAGATCTTTTGCTTTATATATCTTTTCTTGTTTTCTAGCACCCTTGTAATGGATTCCTTTATTAAAATGTTATTTTCTGATGTTTTAGCGAGTCCTTGGGGGATCACTTGGAAGCCCAAATGCAGGCTATTGATACTGTTTCTTCTGTAGTCTCCCCATTCTCAATACATGCCCCTGGTTGTTCAAGCCAGATTCCTGGGAGTCATCCCCAGCACCAAGCGTTCTAGATTTGGACTGCTTGGATGTGAATCTGGGATTCATATATCTTGGGAAACATTGTTTAGCGTCTCATTGCCTCCTTTTTCCCACCTATGAGATGGGGATGACAGTAGCCCCCACCTCATAGAATTGTTCTGAGCATTAAATGAGATATTCCATATATTACGTTAGAACAGTGCCTGGCATGGAGTAAGTGGTTAGTATCTATTATAGTTATCCTTAATCTCTCCCTTTCCCTGTTTGTTTGGTTTTTTTTTCCCCCCTTTTCTGAGATGGAGTTTCGCTCTTGTCGCCCCGGCTGGAGTGCAGTGGTGCCATCTCGGCTCACTGCAACCTCCATCTCCCAGGTTCAAGTGATGCTCCTGCCTTAGCCTCCTGAGTAGCTGGGATCATAGGTGCATGGCACCACGCCTGGCCAATTTTTGTATTTTTTAGTAGAGATGGGGTTTCGCCATGTTGGCCAGGCTGGTCTTGAAGTCCTGACCTCAAGTGATCCACCCACTTTGGCCTCCCAAAGTGCTAAGATTAAAGGCATGAGCCACTGTGCCCGGCCCCTTTCCCTCATTCTTTAAATCCAGTTTATCAGAAAGCTGTGTAATTCTTCCTACAAAATATATTTTAATTCATCCAAAATTTAATTCATCCAAAATTCATCCAAAATTTATTTAAATTTTGCCTACTTCCTCCAAGCTTCCCTGTTCTCATTTGGATTTCTAGCTGGTATCTCTGCTTCTTCTTGTCTCACTCCAATTCATTTTCCATATAACACCCATATGATCTTTTGAAAGTGTAAATGAATAATCTTTTAAAATGCAAATGAATGACTGTATCCCGTAAAACCCTTCAATGGCTTCCCGTCAAACCAATCAAACTGCTTCGTCTTTTCCTTGACCTACACTCTTCATCCTGCAAGTCTTTAAACTTGCCCGCTCATCCTCTCTTCTGTGGCCACATTGGCCTTCTCTTAGTTATCTGAGTAACCTCATCTGTCCTTTCATTCCTTAAGGCCATGTGTATGGCCTTCCCGCCAATATGTTGCTGACCTTCCCCAGCCTGTCATATTTCTCATTTCTGCAGGTGTCAGTTTCTCAGAGAGCTTTCCCTAACCACCTGCCTAAATTAGGGCACCTTAGGTGGCAGCCCCTTGGCTGGGTTCCTCTTTTAGTAGCCTGAAGCTCCCCAAACATATCACAAAATTAATATTTCCTCTCTATTGGGGAAAAGGATAATTAACAACCTGTGATTATCAAACACGTAACACCAAGAGGAGTATGCACCTTTTCAGACTGATACGTTTGACGCATTATGAACATTAAGTGATAATGGAGCTCTTTTAAGAAATTGCTATCTGAATGTTGTGCACACTAGCTCTTTGCTATTGGTGTTGAAGAACAAAGTGGAGTCTGCCCGCTGAACCTGTCTCCAGTGGGGTGATGGAGTTGTGATAGGGTCTTCCTACTACTGTCAGTCATTTCTGCTCCAAAGCATAGAATAGAAATACTAACATTTCCCTCTTTGAAATAGTTACTTGGTTGCTGATAAAAACCCTTCACGCTTCTCTCCCCCAAAGTGAATGGTCAGTCACTGTTCAGACATGTGAAAAGATGATGTCTCATAACCAGTGGGTAGAAACCAGTATGGGTGATATCTGTATCCTGGTTAATTTTAGGTTCAGAGTAAAGAGGCAAAAGAGGGTCTCCCTGACTGGGCTAGGTCAAATTTCTTTGTGTCTTGAATTTTTTTTCCTTGCTATTTATTTTTAATTAGTCCTTAGGCGGAGAATAGAGGCACCCCTGGTTTTTGAGAGTTGCCTGAAACAGTGAGGAAGGAGATCTTAGGAGTTCAGAGAATGTACCATTTTCACCATCACCTTTGTAGTTCTTATTTCAAATAAGGGACTTTAGGAATTACATAGGACCCTGGGACAGATGTTGAAATGTAGGACAATCAGTATACATGGGATGCCTGACAGTTCTGTTCCATGCCCTGTTCAGCTGAATGGTGTTCGTGATTATGTAAAAATGTGATCTATTTTGGGGAAAGATTGGCTTTTTTGTTGGTGTACTTTCACAGAAGCCACACAAAGAAATATTCTTGTTATGGACTGTGGGTAATGATAATCACGTGGAAAATGATGTGTTTAAAAACAAAGTACAGTTTTCTTTCTTTCTTTTCTTTTCTTTTTTTTTGAGATGGATTCTTGCTCTGTCAGCCAGGCTGGAGTGCAGTGGCGCGATCTCGGCTCACTACAGCCTCTGCCTCCCCGGTTTAAGCGATTCTCTTGCCTCAGCCTCCTGAGTAGCTGATATTACAGGAACCACCAGGCCCAACTAAGTTTTGTATTTTTAGTAGAGATGGGGTTTCACCATGTTGGTCAGGCTGGTCTCGAAATCCTGACATAGTGATCCACCCACTTTGACCTCTCAAAGTGCTGAGATTACAGGTGTGAGCTCCCATGCCCAGCCAAAATATAGTTTTCTAATTGCAGAAAAGTAACATTAATTTTTAAAAAACCGACCATAATTCAGCCTCCCATTCAAGCCATCCTTTTTATTTTCCGCTGACTTCCCTATAGATGTTTATATGTGTACATTTTTATATAGTTGTAATAATGCAGTGATAGTTTGTATTCTGATTCTTTTCATGTTGTATTTTTCATGTTCCATTTTCAATGGTTAGATAGCATCAAGTACATATGCCATAATTACTTTACCAATCTCATGTTGGATAATTTGTTTTATGATGTATTTTTTTATGATGTATTTTAAATGTGTCTTTGTTTTGTTCTAATTTTGCAGGCAGAGACATTTGTTTGGGTGAACAATGCATCTGCACATTCCCAGAGTGTTGCTAAGGCCAAATACGAATTTTTATTTGGCAGAGCTGAAGGGAAAACTCCAGATACTAGTAAGTATTTCCTGATATCCCTCTCCCAGGTAAAATATAAGAAGAGCTGTGATTTCACAGTGATTTTTCTCCACCTGCATTACTTTCTTCTTACCTCTGTGAAACCTGCTTGCTGTAATTATTCATCAAAACAATCTTCCCAGGATGTAGAATCCACAAATATTTCATGTAATTCTTGTGGCCTACTCTTGGTAATTTCAAGTCATGTTCTTGGTTCGAAGAATTCTCAGTTTCTGATATTTGAAATTCCAAGAATTAACCAATTTTCATAAGAGTTTCCATAGTTACCATTGTTGTATATATTGACTAATGTATTTTTGGTGTTTTTTTTTTTTTTTTTTTTTTTTGGAGACAAAGTAGTGCTCTGTCATCCAGACTGGCATGCAGTGGCATCATCCTAGCTTACTGCACCCTTAACCGCCAGGCTCAAATGATCCTTCTGCCTCAACCTACCAAGTAGCTGGGACTACAGGCACATGCCACCATACCCGACTAATTAAACCCCTCCCCCTTTTTTTTTTTAAACATACAGGGTCTGGCTGTGCTGCCCAGGCTGGTCTCAAACTCCTGGCCTCAAGCCGTCCTCCTGCCTCAGCCCCACGAAGCACTGAGTTTACAGATGTAAGCCACCGTGCCCAGCCCTTGGTGCTTGTTTTTCACTAACAAAATACATTTATTAGGAAACATTTCCACAGTGATTTTCAGACACTGCAGTCTTTACTTTGGAGGTTATTGTAGCTCTTGCTTATTTTTAATACTTTTTAGTATTGGCCTAATCTAGTCAGCAAACTTAGTATTCTGGAACTAGAAGCAACATTCTTCAATTTGAAACAGGTAAATTTAGAACAAATAGAACTATTACTTGTACTAATTACAGTAATAATATTAGCTAACCTACTAGATTACTTACCGTGTGTTAAGTCTCTATGCTAATCATCACAATAACCGTATATAAAAGTTGGTACTCTTATCCCCATTTTCCAGATGGGGGATCTGAAGTAATCTCCTCCCAATCACACTCACTCACACAGCAGAGCCAGGAGTTTAATGCAAGTTTGTCTCACCGCAGAGCTCATCCTGTTAAGGCAATACTTTTTTGAAGGCATTTTCCTAGAAGGAGGTACAAGGTAAAAATGCAAATAGCTTTGTATAGAATTTCAAAACATTTAACTTTTTCTATGGAAAACTGATGATAAAGGGGATATTAGCATATCTTGAGAGTTAAATTGGAAAAGGCTATTGCATGTGGTTAATATTCTCTGAGTTCTGGATCTAGACTTCTTGAGTTTGAATCCTTGCCTTGTAACTTACAAACTGTGTGACCTTGCAAAGTTATCCAACTTATTTGTGGCTCAGTTTTCTCATCTGTAAAATGCGATTATAGTGACATATGTCTTAGAATTCTTTTGAGGATGAATTAAGTTTACATTTATAAAGATCTTAGAGTCATGTCCCGTCTCTACTAAAAATACAAAAAATTAGTTGGGCGTGGTGGCGGGCACCTGTAGTCCCAGCTGCTTGGGAGGCTGAGGCAGGAGAATGGCATGAACCTGGGAGGTGGAGCTTGCAGTGAGCGGAGATCGCACCACTGCACTCCAACCTGGGCGACAGAGCGAGACTCTGTCTCAAAAAAAAAAAAAATAAAAGATCTTAGAGTTATGCTTGGTATGTAATAAGTGCTATAAAAGTGTTTGCTGCTATTAATTGTTGTGATAACCATCACCATCATCATCATAACTCTGGCCTTTGAGGCTGACGTTATAAGTGCAATCCTTACTTTTTTCAGCTCTATCATTATCTGACACTGATTTTTGTTTTGGGAAGACCAAGAATCTGACTTAATACAGCTGTTCTCAGTTGAAGAAAGCCAACTATGAACTACACATTTTTGACTCACATGTTAGATGGGATTATTTAATAACTCCACAGTATTTGAGGATACCAAGAAGGCAGTGGATACACAGCTATATAATAACTTCTTTTAGCTTAAAAAGTGAATATTTATTAGATATCTTAATCATTGGGAACTCTTAGATACAGTAAAAAAAAATAGCTAAATTATTTTTAAAAATCATTTGGCTTTGATCACAGTGTCCTAATTTAGAGGAGAATGTGTTTCATAGTGTATCTCTTATACTTAACATGTATTGTAGCCATTTATGCTGTTTGTCATGTATCATAAATACCTAACTATTCTGGGCTTGAAGTTTGAGGTACCTAATCATCTGTTTACTCGTTGCCTGGTGGGGGTACTGATTATAGTTATCCCAAGGCTTTTAAGAACTCTGGCATTGGCCTGGCATGGTTGCTCACACCTCTAATCCCAGCACTTTGGGAGTCCGAGACAGGTGGATCACCTGAGGTCAGGAGTTTGAGACCAGTCTGGCCAACATGGTGAAAGCCTGTCTGTACTAAAAATATAAAAATTAGCTGGGCATGGTGACATGTGCCTGTAATTCTAGCTACTCAGGAGACTGAGGCACGAGAATTGTTTGAGCCCGGGAGGCAGAAGTTGCAGTGAGCCGAGATCATGCCACTGCACTTGAGCCTGGATGACTGAGTGAGACTCTGTCTCAAAAAGTAAACAAAAAATTTAAAAAATAAAATAAAACTCCTTGGCAAAGACTTAACTTCGAATGTGACATTGTGATTTTTTTGCTAATTAAGCTTTTTTTTGACTATAATAAAACGGATTTTTACTTAACTATATAGAGATAATACCAAATGTCTACATAGTTCTCTGCCTTATTGGTGAGTGAGTTTGATTCTTCCTTACTCATGGGTTTTGAGTAGTTTTCCCTGTATCGGCAGCTCAGATATATCGTAGCCGAAACAAATCAAAATGACACTTTAAACCTTTTGTTTCTTATTTGCCTTGGTAAAAATGGTTGGTGGTAGTTGCTGCTGGTATGATGTTATTCTGTAGGTGTGAAAGGATGCATGCATTATTGAACAAATACATTTAATGAGCACCTATGCACAGGTTACTTGTGTTTGGCACATTGAAGGTGCAGAGACGTGGAAGATGTGGTTCTTACTCATAAGTTTCTTATTCTTTAGCTAAGGAGAAACAATATGTCTCCAAATGACTAGCAAGAAGGAATGATCACTTTCAGTTCATCTGGTGATGACTGCATGGAGGAGGTGGGAGTTGAACTTGGTCTTGAAGGATGACTATACTTCTGAATAGTAGAATTTTGCAGGAAGAGCATTTCAAATTGAAGAAATGGCATAAGCAGGAAACAGAAATTGTTTGAGGAACTGGGGAAGAGTAGCCCGGTTAGTCTGCAGACATCATCATTGAGAGAGAACTTCAGAAAGATTACCATTTAGAAAAGGGCCATATCGTGTAGTGCTTCCTTAAGCAAGGTGAAGACTTTACAGACTTTTAAAAAGAAGTAGGTGAGGAAAATGAGCTTCAGAGGTGTTAAAGAACATGCCTAAAGGCACATAGCTGAGATGCTTTAGAATCCAGTTAAGAATCCAGTCTGTCTGATGGCCTATGAGAAGTCTCGGCTTCAGTGCAGTCCTCTTATTAGGTACAGCATGCCAGTAATTGGAAGTTATTTGATGTAATGAGGGAAGATAGGCACCTTCATGGGTTACTCAGTTGTTTTTTTTTTTTTTTTTGAAACAGAGTCTGGCTCTGTCGCCCAGGCTGGAGTGCAGTGGCCGGATCTCAGCTCACTGCAAGCTCCGCCTCCCGGGTTTACGCCATTCTCCTGCCTCAGCCTCCCGAGTAGCTGGGACTACAGGCGCCCGCCACCTCGCCCGGCTAGGTTTTTTGTATTTTTTAGTAGAGACGGGGTTTCACTGTGTTAGCCAGGATGGTCTCGACCTCCTGACCTCGTGATCCGCCCGTCTCGGCCTCCCAAAGTGCTGGGATTACAGGCTTGAGCCACCGCGCCCGGCCTGGGTTACTCAGTTGTTTGGAGAGTTGTAGAACTTCATAAATGGTCCTGAACTTGCTTTTTAGAGTTTGTGTGGGTTTTTGAAACTCTCTGACTGTAATTACTCCTCACAGCTGTCTGTGGCTGGAATAAAGCTATATCCTGTTCCTCCCACTTTACTGAATGCAGGGTGCCCGTGGCAGCAGCAGCGGAGCCTGGGTCCCAGCCTATGACAGGTGCCTGTGGACAGGTCGCTGAGCCTCTCCTCAGTTTCTTCATCTGAAAAATAGCGATAATGGTAGTAACTTCTTCATAGAGTTGTAGTGGAAATTGAATGAGATTGTGAATACGCAGCTCAAGGTTTGGCACATGATATCCAGTCAGTGTTTAGCTGTTAGGAAACCAGTTTATATATTAAAGTAGCAGAATCCTTATGTAGGAAGAAACAGTAGAAGTTCTTTTGCATTTTATAGATGAGGAAACTGATGACTCAAGAGAATGAATTAATTAGCCCCAAACTTGTTGATAGTTTTGAGACCATGATCCAGGTTCCTCGGTTCTGCGTCATGTTTGAAATGTGACATCATCTGTTCCTGTGGAAAAACCAACTCTCAGGTTGGAAAGATGTAAAAGTCACCTCACCCCACTCTCCTGAAATATGCTATAAATGTGCTGTGTTAGAATGGAAACCAGGATCAGAATACACAGGCTCTGAGGGAGGCCTTCGGGGACTTTTCTGTTGGGGAAGGTACCTGATGACTAGCGGAGGAAGGAGGAGAACTGTTTTCACTTTGCCTCCCTGCTGCCATCACCTGAACTGTTCGGAGCCCATCATTAAAAGAGAAGAGTTGGGTAGGGCTAGTAGGGAAGCCATAGGAAATGTGTTATACTGTTAAGGTTCTAGAGTGATTGTGTAGTAAGAATTTAGCTGCTTGGAAGCCTCTGAAAGACATACCGAAATTTTATTAAAATGTTAGTTTTCTTTTAGTTGGAACTCATTCTAAATCATATTGTCTAAGCAAATTTTCTCTTTATGATGATTTATGGTCAGAAGTATGAATAGGTAAGGTGTTTGCTGGACTTAGATGTAAATGGATTCTGTAGCATATG